GAGAGAGAGAGAGAGAGAGAGAGAGAGAGAGAGAGAGAGAGGGCCAATGAGGAAGAGATAAGCTGGGCCTCTTCATCATTTTCTTTGGCTTTAAGTCCATTAATGGCATTAAATGAAAGCCATCATGAAATTTGACTTAGAGCACCTCTCTTATTAACTTAGTCTAGGGTTTTCTAGTGTCTTCCAAACCTTTTATAAATAGCAAGACATTTCCCTCCTTCTCCCTCTTCTCACGCCAACATCTCACGCCAACTTCATCATCCTCTTCTTCCTTTGTTTCTTGTTTTCTCACTTTTGGCCCGAGAAGCTCACGCCCAAATAAATCCCGAACCGGCCCGTGTTTCTTCTCGTTTCACCCAAGAGCCCACGGTTTGGTCTTTGTAGGCCTAGGTTTGCTCGGCTAAGCAAGAAGGAAGCAAGGAGAAAGCCCGAAATTTCCCGAGCTCACCCGTCTTTAGCCCGTTCTCTAGTTTTGTTAGTTATTGTGTAAGTGAATTCCCTACTATCGGGAAAAGAAGTTGCGATGCGTTGTAACATGGGTTGCTTGGCCCGTTTCTTGGTTTCTTGGTTGATTTACTTGGCCCATTTTCTTGGTTTCATGGTTGTTCGTTCTTTCTCGACTAACGATGTTCACGTGTGATACTCACGTTTGATGTTTGTCTTTGTTGGTTTCGTAGCATGACTTTGCTATTTGAATTGCCATCGATGCCGGTACGGTAAGAGTCAACTTGTATGAACGACGATTGTCTTGTCCTTGCTTGATATTAGAGTTTTTACTTACTGAGTCTCCCCGACTCACTCCCGTTGTTTTTCCTCTTTTCAGGTCTGTGATATGGCATCCCCTCCAACCCGGTTCGGAAACCCAGTGGAAATGCGAGCCGAACTCCTCACCGTGATCGACGCCTGGGAGAATCGCGCTTACCGTCGAATCACAACCTATGTGATGGTCGACGAAGGCCGTGATGAGTTAGTCGCTCACCCGTACGAGGCGTGGTACCGCCTAGCGAACAGAGAATGGGTTGGGCCCCTTCGCGCTTTCAACGGGCCATTTGGAGGATCGGGCGGGTCGGCTCCGGGGCAAACCGGGGGTGGAGCATGAGATGGCCAGCCGGACGAGGAGCGGGAGGAGCGAGAGGAACGAGAAGCTATAGCGAAGCTAGGAACCCAAGCCAAGTTTTGTTTGTTTGATAGTGGCTTGTGTCGGAAACGCCCTTGGAATGGGCATGTAAAATATGTACGTGGCTTGTAAGGGCCCGTAAAGAAGGGCTCGATGAAATAAGCACGTCTTTTGTAAATACAATGTGCGTGATTTGTTTATCTCACTCCTATTTGTCTCGTTTATCGTTTATTTGCTTCCGCGTGCGCATTTGATTGTTTAAAATAAACGGGACGAACTAATATATTTTCGCGAGTCACGGGTCCGTTCGGGTCATATTCGGTCACTACGTATCGATCGTGATTCCGAGTAGGGACGTGACAGATAATCCCACAAAAAATAGCATTCAGTGCATGTGCACGATCAAAATTTAGATATCATTTAGTCTTTGAATGTAACTTCTGCGAACTCACCTTCAAAGAGGGGTAACTGTTGGCACCAAAATTTCGGCTAACCATTTAGGAATTTATTGCAAAGAAAATGAGGGATTAATCTTTGATCCCTAAACAAAAATAAATTGCATAGCATATAGTCTAGAATCATGTAGTTTAATTGCATCTTGCATTAGACCGACGGTGGCGAATATACTCAAATCAACAGTGCGGACCTAACTCGCAATACTTGACCAAACAAGAGGGGGAGGGGCCGAAAATTACAAGGCACGACGAGCCTTTGTTATCTTAGATTGAGCTTAAATCAGCCCATTAAACTTCAATTAAAGAAAAGCCTAGGTTAAAGCCCATAATCTTACAAAGCCAGCCCAATTAACTTAGGTTTACATTATAAATACACAGTTGTGCCTCTCGATTAGGAGGAGGCGATCGCAATTTTCAGAATACACGAGTGATACACGTGAAAGTGAGAGTGAGCGTGATAGAGGGAAAGACCGGCTGAGCCCCCTCACGGCCGACCCCCTCTTTCTCGATTGTAGTCGCTGCCCCCCTGGCGGCCACCGTCACCACTCCTTCCCCTCATGGCTAGACTTGTGGCCGTAAGATGCTGTTGCTGCCTTCGCCTGCGACAAGCCGTCCTCACCTGCTGTTGCCCCCATTGCCGCACCGCCCGACATGAGCCGCTGCCACTGCCGTTGCACCTCCCGCTGGACTCATTGTTTCCTGGCCTGCTGTCTCACGCCGGGACGAAGCCGCTGCCTCCTCGCCAAGCTCCTACTGCTGCTGCTGCAAGATCGATCACGACGCCACCGCTGCAGCAAGTCCCCAACACTGTCGAGCCCGCACTGACGACGCTGCTTCCTGTTGCCGCCCTGCATTGACCTAGTGAGCTGCTGCTGCTGCCGCCTCTTGTCGACTCTGTGCCGATGAGCCGCTGCAGCAAGTCCCTAACGCTATCGAGCTCGCACCGACGACGCTGCTTCCTGTTGCCGCCCTGCATTGACCCAGCAAGCTGCTGTTGCTGCTGCCGCCTCTTGTCACCTTTGCCTCCCTCATGGTTAGACTTGTGGCCGTGAGCCGTAATTGCTGCTCCCGTCGCTCCATCGTCCACGTCGCGTGCTGCTGCCTAGCCATGCCGTGACTGATGCCCCATCGTCGGTCGAGTTCCCTTCGTGTGTCAAGCCACCGTTGGAGCGCCGCTGCTAGCCCACCACCTCGGCCAATCTCAGTGATCCGCAATCCCGATCCGAGTCAAGTTCAAATTTGAAAGTTATCCGCAAATTAGGTAAGAATATCATCTGATATCGTTTTAAATATTTAAAGTTTTAATTTGGATGATATGCTATCTTTTGTAGATTTATAGATATATCTGGGTCATTATATAATATCCGCAAGATTTTAAAATACCCCAAGCTAGGAAATTTTCCTAACTTAACAACGTGCTTGGACGATTATACGATCTCTAACCACGAGATATGATACTCAGCGGCACAGAAAATCTTTCATGCTATCCATAACTTTTTGGATACAATGATAGATTTTAATTGTTTCCAAATTTAAATGAATAGCCTTCCATAAATATCCATAACTACATGAATATGATTGCTGGGTTCATATCGCTTTCCTAATTCAAAGATGATAAAACAAACCTTGTGAATTGCGTAGATTGATTTGATGGTGGTGGTTATCCTCTGTTTGATTTTATTTCCTTTAAAAGAAAATCCCAAAAATGATTAATTAGGATTTAAATTGATCCCTTAGAAGATAATGTTGAATGTTTAGGATAGGTCTAGATAACTTTCCTTGAATAGAATAAAATAACCTAAATTTGCTAGAAAGATAAGATAAATTTTCAATTTAAATTAGGATTTATAGTAATTTACTTCCTAGTTTTGTTTATATATTATCCTAATCCTGATAATTTATTTAGGGTAATTTTAATTGCGAATTTTCATAAAAAATACCAAAAAGAAGCCGCTTTAGAGTAAATCAAATTGTCTTTTCTAAAATAGATTGCATGTTAATTTAGGCAATTTTATTATTCCGAATTTTAATAAAAAATACAAAAAATATATCAGTTGCCTGTCATTAGAATTAGGTCATTTAATCGTATGTCATCTAGCTTGCATGTAAGGATTATTTAATCGCATGTCATACTCTACATGTCATTGCATATAAGTTAGTTATCATCTAATCAAACGAAAATAAAAAAAATACATTAAATGGAATTGCTTGTTAATTAGAAATCATATTAAGATCTAGTTAACAATGCAGATGCTTACGTTGCTTCAAGGTAAGCAATTCTTCCTTTCTTGATATTTATTTAATGCTTTAATTATTGGGTTTTAATTTGGTGGTTTGTCCACTCGTATGAACACCTCACATGTTGGGAAGAAATAAAATCAATCTAGACAACCTGCTCAAACATTTTCATGAAAAGAAAAGGTACCGAAAGGGCATTAGGGTAAATCTAGCATAATCAAGTCTCCGTACTAATTCGTGGGAACAAAATATATCTCCTTATACTTTACTTGGATTTCTAATCGACTTACCGTAAATTGATTAGTTGTGACTCTAAATTGAAAATGACTTGCATGATAAGAACTTGAACCATAAGTCGCGAATTGGTAAGGATTGTGAGAGCCCGAGTTAAGTCTAGACTTAATAATCCATTAGCCGAACCCCTAGGTGGTACACCGCGAGGGTAGGTCGCGACATTTAGTTTAAATCTCGCAACGGATGCATTTTGACTTTTTTCTTAATTCGAAACGCCCGAAAACTTCCACAATATGCAGATGTTGATGCTGTAGGTTTACATGTAATTTTTTTCGTGATTTTCTGAAATTTGAAAATTTTCATTAAAAATTCGTTTCGAATATATATACTGTGCTTCAAAAATCGATTTTCTTTTCAGGAAATTGCTTTATGAAACGAATTTGATAAATTGCCTTCGGACACCACCAGTTAGAATAGAATAACTCAATCTCGTATGAAAGATAATACTGAGAAGCGGGCGAAATTAGAAACCATTTATTTCACGAAAAACAAACGATTCAGAATTCCTAAAAACGATCGCTCGCATCGCACGAACTAATTAGTCAACAGAAAAAATGTTTCCATTGCCAATAATAATTTAAATCTAAATATTTTTGTGGACAATAAAAATATTTTTTACCCGATCGTTTTAATTTTTTCTGTTTGAATCATTCATTTTTTTTCACCAAATCTTAATAGAGAAATGAATTGTATAACCGAGGGTTACAGTTGCAACGAGGTCATGCCGGTTGGTAGCTTATCACTAACCTTTCTTGTTCGTCTTCTTTCGCCGAGTGAGTAAGCAATCTCAGCTGGATTCGCGGTGAGCAATTACTGCCATCTGAGATCTTGGTTTTTTCCTGTTAATCTCCCTCTTTCCCTCTGTGGAGCCCCACCCCACACCACCCATATAAACAACTTTCACCTCAAGAGCCAAACGATGCGTTTCGCTCTGTTTGTCTGCTCGCAAGGGGGGCCACCAAGAACTCGGACTCCGTCCTGGGTGCTAGCCAAAAGCGGCGGAAGAGGAGGAAATGAAGCTGAATTGGAGGCTGCCGTCGCGCAGCAAGCACGGTAACGTGGCGGTGAAGCTGGCGGTCTCGATGCTCTTGGTGGGTCTCGCGTTTAGGCTTCTCTTCTCAAGATCCGAGGAGCTGCCGCCGGGTGTGGCGAACCCAGTTGCCGAAAAGTCGGTGGCGGCGAAGCCGGCCGAATCTGATGAAGCCTCGCCTCGATTCGACCCGACGAGCGCGGAAGATGGAAATGCCGGCGCAGGTAGTGTTTCTTGCTGCTGTCGGTTTGTGTTCTTTGTTGGTCTGTATCAGTTCTCTTTTCCTGTTGTGTAATTGCCGAGTAGTTGCTGAATTGGGAAATGGGAAGCAAGATATGACTTAGAAAGTGGCTTAATTTATAGTCAGATACTTACAGTGGCTGCTTCAGTCTTGGAAATTTTAATTGGTAATGATGAAATGCTTAGCGACAGTTTTTGTGTGCAGTGAACTCCATTCTTCTGCTGGTTGATCTCCATTTGGCTGCTTTTGAAGGGCAATCCTGTTTTTGTCTCATGAAAAGTTCACATTTTTGACTGTTTTGGTGTTTGCCAATGGATGTCGACACTTGTTTCAGATGAATGTGATCTTTTCTCTGGGGATTGGATTCCATATCGGTCCGGTCCAGTTTATACCAATCAGAGTTGCTCCTTGATCGAGACTCACCAAAACTGTTTGGGGAATGGGAGGCCAGATAAAGGGTATTTGTACTGGAGGTGGAAACCGAGAAACTGCGAATTGCCACTATTCAATGGGCGGAGGTTTCTCGAGTTAATGAGGAACAAGGCATGGGCATTGATTGGCGATTCGATTTCTCGTAACCATGTGCAGTCTTTGCTGTGCATGCTTTCAACTGTAAGTTTTAGTATTCTTTACTTGAAAGTTAGATGTCTGGTTTGCTGCCTACACAGATTTTAAAGGGGAGTTGTTTTTGATTCTTTGACATTCCTTTTCATGGAATGAAATTATTCATCATCTTGTTTGTATTATGCTGGTTTCTGGGTTTAATGTTGTGCAAATGTGATCTAAAATTGCAGTGGTTGTACTTGAAATCAAGTATGATTTTTCATCGATTGTGTGGTTTTCTGGTCATTGTCTGTCCAGTTATAAGAGTTGTGCAACTTCAGTATTTTATGAAAAGTGTACATTCTGTTTTTCTTTTCCTCCTCCTCCTCTCTCTAAGCAAAACCATTTATACTTTTTCTGGTCTGGGAGCTCCAGGATATTGCTTTTCTGGCTTGTGACTTTACCTCTTCCGACAACTGTAGCCTGTTAATAAGCAACAGGCATTGGGGTTGATGTGCCCATTGCATCAGTCGATCGTGGTATTGCCGATTCTTTTAAATGGGACTCCAACTAGTGTAAACGGGACGAACTTTGTTGGCATGATGATAAACCAAGATCCTTTAGGACGGACTTTGCTACATTTTGCCTGTGCATGTGAGGGTGATTTTGCCTATGAACAAAAGGTTGATGGGAAAGAGAGTTCTAGTGTAGACTTTTGTCTCTTTTTATGAGGATGTCTTCTACTACGAGAAAACAGAATGTCCTTGATCGGCTACAGACATTCTACTCTTTTGCTTAAAGAAAAATTATAGTTGATCTATGTGTCTGTGGATGGAAGCTGAATTGGCATATTGAGGCTTTAGAAATTTGATCACTTCCTTTTGTTTTTATTCAAAATTAATCTGGTAGGATGTTTTCATCTTGGAACGACCTCTCATTTTCTTTGAAATGCGACTACATACAATTGAATGTTTTGGTTGGACGGGCGGGTGGAATGGATGAGCAAAGGGTAGTGCCTGTTTGTCCTCAGAATGTGCCATAAGTAGATGTTTTCTGAATAGATCAGGGAGTTGCAGATTATCAGTATCATTCTTTGCTTGTCCTTAGTTCTCGATGCATAACTGCATAATGCGATATGGTGTGATAACACACAAAAGCAGAGATGGGCAAGCTTATTGAGTGCGTTGTCTTTGTGTGTGTGTGTGTGTGTGTGAGAGAGAGAGAGAGAGAGAGATTGTCTTTTATGATACTTCATCTTGATATTGGGTGTGTATCAGTGAAACTCTGACTTGTGTTCGCTATTATGTCATGCTGTTTGAAATTTGTGGACCAGTTTTGTTGTTTATTAAGCTCAGCAAATACATTTTCAGGTAGAACAACCAATACACGTCTATCATGACGAAGATTACAAATCAAGAAGATGGCACTTCCCCTCCTACAATTTCAACATTTCAGTCATCTGGACTCCTTTCCTCGTAAAAGCGGCGATTTTTGAGGACAACAATGGCGTCTCCACATCGGCAGTTAAACTTCATCTGGACAAGCTTGATACGAACTGGACTAGTTTGTATCCAAACTTGGATTACATGATAATATCGACCGGGAAATGGTTTCTCAAAACTGCAATATACTATGAGAATGGTCGAGCTGTGGGCTGCCATAACTGTGACAAAGAAGACATACCCGAGGTGGGATTCGACTTTGCCTACAGGAAGACCCTGCATAACGTGATGAACTTCATTGCAAATTCTAAGCACAAAGGTCTGTTATTTTTGCGCACATCCACACCAGATCATTTTGAGAATGGGGAGTGGCATAACGGTGGGACCTGCCGGAGGACGGCTCCTGTCAAAGAAGGTGAGATCGAATTGAAGGACCTGAACCGAATTCTCCGTGACATTGAACTCAGCGAGTACGAGAAGGCATCAGCCATAGCTGCTAAAACTGGCGTGAATCTAAAGCTTCTCGACTTCACTAATCTCTTGCTGACAAGGCCCGATGGGCATCCGGGTCCTTACAGGGAGATTTATCCGTTTGCAAAGGATAAGAACGCCAAAGTCCAGAACGACTGCTTGCACTGGTGCTTGCCAGGGCCTATTGATGCTTGGAACGACGTGATAATGGAAATTGTAATGAATGCGAGTTGAACCAGAGAAGCAAAACCCGAGATATAATTGATAGATTGCTGAAATTGTAAATGCATGCAACAGTGCGATGCACACTCCTCAGCAGGAGTTTGCAGTCTCTGGATGTATTGCAATGGTTGTGAATATGCCCTAGTTCCTTCTTCAGCTCTCCCATTTTGCTTGGGTATTACATAGACCATTTGGCCAGTCAAGGAATCAATTCGTTTGATGGCACCAAGTGAGCATGATTGCAGTACTTGATACTGAGTTCCACTAGACTCTCAATTGGTTCAAGTGAGATACTGACCACAGATCACTTCTAATGTCCTGTGGTGTCGGTTTAGCGAGATGACCCGACTTAGAAATCCAAAAGGGTGTTCTATCGTCGTCGTCGTGCGTCTTTTCCCTTTCTGCACGCCGGACGGATGGCACAAGAAGTCCAAAAGGGTGTTCTAATTAGGTCTCCCCTAGCTATCTAAGGAGGTCCCATTCAGAAAGGTGAAACGGGAGCTTTGCCTTTATTCTCTGTCAAAGGAAAACACAGAGACACACAACCTTAGGAAGTTGTTCAACATGACTAAAGCGAAGAGAATCAGTTCGTGGGGGGACAAGATAATGAGATTCCAACCTCTAAAGATGCCACCCCTCCTCCACCATCACCATCACCAGTTCATCATATCGTGTGACAAAACAAGGAAGTGCGTTCCATTCTGAATGCACCTAAAATGCTTCGTCCTTCTTTTTAGTGCTCTCCCCTTTGTTCGTGTGAAAAGGGGGCAAAAAACAAAAGGGCGACAGCGACGTGTTTCCTCGTACATCCTCATATATACTGCGATCAAAACGACAAAGTTGTCTTAATTAGAATATAATGACTAAACCCTTCGATGAAATGCATCATTGCTAACTATTTTAAAAATTTAAGTTGCAAGATGAATGCATGATTTAATATTTAAAATATTTCAATGGTTTCTAACATTACACAATTTGAAGTTAATGGGTTTGTATCGTTTCGTAGTGGCTCATGCGACGGATCGAGTCCATGTGATTTGACATCCTTATCTTTGGACCATGTCGTGCCGTACTCAGGACGGAATCAAAACACTCCATTCACGCCACTCCACTCTCATCATTTCGTGCCCGCAACAACGAAACGAGGACCAAACTCCCTCTTCGTGACCTGGCAAACAAGTTGGTCCTAATCATCGATGACGTCATAAATCTTGGAAGGGGGAGAAAAATACGAGGATTTTTTAATTGCTTCTTTTAGCTTGCATTATATTATTTTATTAGAGTTCTTTCGAATGCCGGAGCTCGGAAAAAAACTGCAAATGGCATTATCTCATGAAATGCTAATATTTACAAATATTGAAATAAGAACGAAAAACGTTTTCTATTTTCTTGAGAAACAAATATTTAATCGGCGAAAATAAAAACTTCCTGCTATGAATTGAAGATTTTTGAACACGTGTTCACCTTCGTGGTTTTTCCAAAATAAGAAAATAAGAAGTCTAACGACAGACTATGCTGTCGCTCCAAAATGAAAATTTTAAAAACATTTTTATTCTTATTTTCACTGAATACATTTATCAAAATTGGAAATAGTTTTTTTTTTGTTCATTTTATTCTCACATGCTAATTGAATCCATTGCGGCTTTTCTTAGGCAGACAAGGCCTTATAAAACTCCGTATAAACCATCGCAATTCCACTCAAACAACACTTTTGAACTGTTGGGGTGTGGTTCATACTACGGGGGTTCCGCTCCCTGGTGAGTGGGCGGGGTTCGTAGGAGGCAAATTTAGAGAGCTTTTATATTTCGAGTCTGTATTTCATCGGTAATTTGGGCTTGAGTTCATGAATATCTACTGTTACCTCTCTCTCTCTCTCTCTCTCTCTCTCTCTCTATATATATATATATATTTTCTTTATCTTATAATCAAAGGAAGTAACATAGAAGTGCGATACACTAATTATAATGGAATCCTATGCTAAACGTAGCCCTAATTTAAGGGTGAACCGAGATAAAAACCTTATATCTCGATTTTTTTGTGATCGTGCGCCGAATCCATCCTAACAAGAGCGGCATCAAATCTAACGTCGCGTTTCAATCTTTCCGCTTATTCATATGCGCGCTCGCTCAAACGTAGCAGGTCTACCGAATTCACTCATTTTCCGAAAGGTAAGAAAAGCATGAGAGATATCGGTTCAACAATTGTCGACCCCGTCAACAAAATGCCCTCAAGCACTCAGAATTGAAGAAGTCAACCCTTTCCCCACATCTAACGAGCGATGCGATCACATGAAAGGCATTAAATCAAAAGGTAATATACCGTCTCATAATTAATTAAAGGTTTTCTATATATCCTATCCCTTTCGGCCAACCACGTCCCAAATACTTTAACAAAATAAAATAAAATAGCTTTCATCCCATTATTATTCTTATATGCGCACATTCTAATCAGATCGCGACTCCGCCTTCTTCCGTCTCGGTCGATTTTTCCCCTTATTCTAATAAAAGCGATAATGACACAATTGATCCATAAATTTTAGTTCAATATAGAATAGGAAAAATGACATAAATAGTCCCTGAACTTTGGCTCAATGTGCATTTTGGTCCCTGAACTTTTAATTTGGTCAATGTAGTCCCTAAACTTTAATCTAATGTGCAATGTGGTCCCTGAACTTTTAATTTGTTCATTGTCATCCCTGAACTTTTGGTACATGTTCAATTCAATCCCTGAACTATATGAAAATGTTCAATGCAGTCCTTTCCATTAATTCAAGTTCAGGGACTACATTGAACATTTTCATATAGTTCAGGGACTAAATTGAACATGTACCAAAAGTTCAGGGATGACATTGAACAAATTAAAAGTTCAAGGACCACATTGAACATTAGCTTAAAGTTCAGGGACTATATTGAACAAATTAAAAGTTCAGGGACCAAATAGCACATTGAGCCAAAGTTCAGGGACTGTTTGTGTCATTATCCCTATATAATATAATCCATGAATTTTAGACTGATTTAATGTGATCTCTGAACTTTAACCCAATATGCAGTGTGGTCCCTCAACTTTTAATTTGTTCAATATGGTCCCTGAGCTTTTGGTACACGTTTAATTTAGCTCATGAACTGTATGAAAATATTCAGTACTGTCAATAAAGTTTGGGGATTAAATTGAACATGTACCAAAAATTCACGGATCATATTGAATAAATAAAAAATTTATGGACCATATTGAACAAATTTAAAATTCAGAAACTGCACGTTGGGTTAAAGTTTACGAACTATTTTTGCCATTTGACTTTAATAAAATAAAATAAAAATATCACCAAGCACATATTCCTCTCACTCTCGCTCGCACACCATTTCGGACGTAGCCTCAATTCCCCGCTTCCCTGGCTACTACACTGCGCCGGTGGGGCCGGACGCCACTTAACCTGCGCACCTCCACATCGCCCGTGCGTAGCTTCGCTTATAAACTCTCCTCCCTCCGCTGCCTCCTCTGCCTCAGCTGACTCTCAGTCCTTTCGCACCGGAAGCCGTCACCAATGGCGAGCCCTCCCAAGCCGGACGCCTTCCCCCGCCGCGACGCCGACGCTGGCGCCGCCTTCGTCCTCGAGTCCAAAGGTAACCCCGCCGCTCGCGGCGACGGTCGCCGGCGCGAGCGCTGGCCTCACTGTGTTTGTTTTCCGATCGAGGAGAGACTGAATCGAGCTCCGGTTCCCCCCGGGGTGTGTGTGTTTGGGCAGGGGAGTGGTGGCACGCCGGGTTCCACCTGACGACGGCGATCGTGGGGCCGACGATACTGACGCTGCCGTACGCGTTCCGGGGGCTGGGGTGGGGGCTGGGCTTCCTCTGCCTCACGGCGATGGGGGTCGTCACCTTCTACTCCTACCTCCTCATGTCCAAGGTGCTGGAGCACTGCGAGAAGGAAGGCCGCCGCCACATCCGCTTCCGCGAGCTCGCCGCCGACGTCCTAGGTCAGTTACCATATCGATTCCTCCGCCATCCCGCCGTCCCCGGATAAGGTCGACCGGTTCGTTCGAGGCCGTCGAGGCGATGATCTCGACGTGCTGGTTTGTAGCAATATCGGTTTTAAGGTTTTGGTTTGGTTTGCTTTCCTCATTTGCTTTAGTCCATCAAAAAACAAAAAAAATCACACATTTTTTGCTTTTCAAAATACTTAATATTCATGCGATATACGATGTTAATACTTTAAATTCATGTATAACCTCTTCATTATTTTTTAGAATATATGCAGTATTTTAAATTGGCGATAAAGTAGGTAATTGTCTTATTCCTTTGTGAATGTTAATCCTTTAACAAAAAAAAAAAAAATACAAAGTAGTATGCTTTATGAGAAGGAAAGCAAAATAAGGGGTGACCTATTGCCGCTTGGCTAAGACTCGTGGTAGACAAAACGAACATAACTAATGTCCAAATTTCTTAAAATAAAGTTAAAACTCACAGACAAGCTTTAATATGTTATATTGAAAGTCGCATATTTCTCTTCCTTGTTATTTTAAAGCAAGCCTTTACATAAAACGATATATGGTTGGTGATTATGTCGGATCTACTAGTATGTTTGAATATTTCGCAAGCCCTTATGTAACTCATCCCATTTAAATTATCGGGTATCAAAAGTTGGGTATTCCAAGGTTCTCGAAATTTCTATGTTTATCATAATCTCATGCCCAATACACCATTGCTGTAATGGAAATATTCTAGTAAAAATGGTTGTAGACGAGATATAAGGATCAATATCGATTGGTGGTAGACAGAATCATTTGGGATTATATATCCTTCGGTGGCTGTGCTGGCAAAAGTTTGACCTTGGAATGCGGATCGGCGTTATGAGCGCCGTAAAAAACGCCGCACGGATGGTTCGGACACTTTGGCCGACGGCTGGACTTTCGTTGTTCTCTTCATCTTTTTTTTTTTTTTTTTCCGGTTTATATTTCGTAATGTCTGCGTCATATTTTCTCGGAGTTGGTGGCCCAAGGACCATGGCTGTAATGGGTAGTGGCCAGTCCGTTGATTCTTCTTGGGTCGACAAGAGAAACTTTTATGCAATGCAATGCTGTCTTCGACTCAGACTCGACCCTGTTGGGTCTAACATGATAAGTGTATTCAGTGCATGTTCT